GTGTTTTTACAGGTAAATGTACTGTAACTAAATACCTAGAAGAAAAGGTATTAGAGATTGACAGTAACATGATAGTAGTATTAAATATGAATAATGGTCAGCTTAATAGCACTTGTGATCAGAGAAGGCTATCAATTAAGGGACATTATTTTTTAACATTTAATAATTGTTCGGTACAGATTAATAATATTGTTTTCAGAAACACTGTAGTGAAAATAGATCAAGTTTTTGTTTTACCGCCCACCACTATAGAAAAACTAGAACCTAGAAAACAATCTTTAACGTTTGAAGAAATTGTAATTAAACAACAGGAAAATTTGAAAAGAATTGAAGAATTACATTTCCATAGGAAAACGTTAAACGCAGTTGGAGGTTTATCAGTAGGAGCATGTGTAATACTATCTTTATTATTGTATGTAATATATAAGAAGTTAATAACTCAGACTACAACGGAACAAGAACAACCTACGTTACAGCGAACACCAAGTTTACAATCAGTTATAAGACATTATCCTCCACCATCACCACCACCGGTACAAGCACCAATTGTACAATATACAAATACAACTCCTTATGTACCACAACCAACACAGTTACCACCACCTCAACCAATGCAATATAACAATGCTACTTTAGCACCAACTCATCCAGGAATACAGTTCACTGGAGTATTTTAATACTATATTTGTTATAAGAAAGGTGTATATAATGTTAGTAATATAATTTAGTTAAATTAGGGTTCATTGAACATATCATATTTTTAGAAATAGTCATTAATGGTAAAATTAAGAATAGGTAAAAGATAGAAAAATTTAAAATAAGCAATGGAAAATGTAAAAAACAAGAATAATAATCATAAATGTAAAATATAAATAATATTTAGAGAATCAGGTAATTTTAAGAAAACATACTGATTTAGTATATACAAATTTTAATAGTTTTAAGAAAAATGTAAAATAAAAAAAAACAAAAAACTTAAAACCAATAAAATCTAAGTATATTAAATAAAAGATTCATGTAAGTTAACGATACATATTTAATATTTATTTTATTATTTACTCTATCTACATCAAATGAAAATAATTAGTTTATAAGAATTAAATTAAAGAATTTTAAATAAGAATGTTAAATTAAATGTGCCAAGGATTAAAGAATAACTGATGTAATATAGACCAAATAAATAAACTTAACATTTTATATATGCAAACCGAAACGGTTGCATTTAAAATTATAACATATTTTTAGGATATATTTCAAAGTTTGTAAACTAACGATTAGAAAATTTTTTTTTTTGACCATCGGGATTTTAGACCTAACATTTTCATGCCACAATGTTCTTCAAAGGGGGAAGGAATGTTGTGATGTAAAGTTAACAATAGTTTCGTTCCTCAAAGTGAGATTTAAGACCGTATTTTTGGGACAATTAATGTAATAAAGTTAAAAGTTTTAGTTAAGAATAATTAATAAATGCATAGCAGTCTTTATGGTGACATTTTCTATTTACACCTAAAAGTAGGCAAAGTTATTTACAATTGCAGTAATTTTAACAAGAAGACAAAAAGTCAGTAAGACAAACTGTCGAAGTAAAATGCTGATTTTTTGTAGTATTTATTATCTGGGTCAATTGTAAATGACTTTGAAAAAAAGAAATGGTAACAAGGTAAAGTCTGAAATATGTAGAATGAATAATTTTGCGAATTACGCAAAATTATTATTACAGAATTAATTTTTAATTAATTTTTAAAGTTTTCTGGGTTATTGGGGCAATGTCTAAAATAAAGGTCATATTAGAGAAAGTTCTAAGCGTAGGTGAAAGCAGCTCTATATATATAGAGTCTGTTTATTAATTAGGGCAGTTGCAGTTAGTTTTTGATGTAAACTCGAAATGTGTCAGTTTTTTAAGTGAAAGTAAAATGTGTCAGTCATAAGAAAGTCAATTGTAAAAAGTGAGTCAAAAGATGATTCTAAAAGGTGAATCCTAAGAAGAAAGTCAATTGTAAAAAGTGAGTCAAAAGATGATTCTAAAAGGTGAATCCTAAGAAGAAAGTCAATCGTAAAAAGTGAGTCGAAAGATGATTCTAAAAGGTGAATCCTAAGAAGAAAGTCAATTGTAATAAGTGAGTCAAAAGATGATTCTAAAAGGTTAATCCTAAAAGTAATTCTAAAAGTGATTCTAAAGGAATGTAAAAATGTTAATCTAAAAGGACAATCTATGAAATGAATTGTATATGAACAATAAAATATTAAAACATTAAATATGTTGTGGAATGTAAAAGTGTAAAAATATATAATCAAGAAGTTAAAATGAATAAACGTTAAGAATTGTCTATGAACAATCGTGTACTAGAATATTAAAATTCAAAACCTATGGAAAATTGTAAAAACGCAATAATACTATGTGTGTAATTTTCTTTAAAATTTAATTGAGTTTATATATTATAAACAATAAATGAATGAAATGAACAAAAAATTACGCGTTTAATTTTATTATCGAGAGTATGAAAGTATTTTGAAAATTTTGGAAATACAACATTGTTTGACATCAGTTTTTGGTCTCCTCGAAATTATATAACATTGAAAATACAACAGGTGGCTGCTGCTGAAATCAGAATTGAGTTTAAAACCGAGGTTGCGTCCTCAATATGAGACTTACACTTTATCTTGTAATTTGTGTGTATGTGTGAGTTAATATACTTTTTATATTTGAGCCAATTTGTTCTATTGTAAGACTATAGGAACTGTCATGAAACAGAGGAGCATCAAGTAAGCAAAATATATATATATATATATGGTGGGACGTTGGGACAGCGTACTGTCCAACAAGTGGCCCCACTGAAGTGAAGGATTAGTCGAAGTAGACCACGAAACGACTTGGGTCCTTTTTCGTCCTTCGATTCTCGGATGTTGGTATTGAGTTAAAGCTGGAGTGGCTTCCGTTCGCATAACTACATCTTTTGTTAATGCAAGCATCTCATTTAGCTTGAGGTTTCCTGCCAAGTCGTCACCAACCCAATGGTGTCCCAAGACAGTCTTCCTCCTACTTGCCAGTGCTGGACATTGACACAATATATGCACCGCTGTCTCCTTTTCTTCTAGATATAGTCTGCAAGTGTCTTCTTCAGCAAGAGTTATCTTTTTGAGGTGATACTTGAAGTTGCCATGTCCAGTAATTAGTGAGGTCAGCCAGCTTAGAGTGCTCCGCGAATAGCTAAGCACTTTTATCGCTTCTCTGGCCCACGGTTTAGGTAACATGAGTTTGGTCTGTCTACAAGTGCTCAACTCTCTCCATCTATTAAGATGAAGTGAGATTATCCACTCATTGACATAGGCTGCCGTCATGCTGTACCCCAATGGTATTCTGGGCTCCGGGCCACATAAATTATGGCTTGATCCTTGCTTTGCAAGTTCATCTGCCTTCTCGTTTTGCTCAATACCGATGTGTCCTTTAACCTACATGATCGTCATCTCATTTCCATGAGCACATTCCATGCGCTTCGTTACACATTCTTGTACTAAGCTGTTAGTTATGTATATCTTTTGCATGCTTTTGATAACTGCTTGGTTGTCCAGCGCTATCAGAATCTTTTTCTGATATACCTTGTAAGGATGGAAATTTTGTAATAATTTCCAACCTACATAAATTTAGTAACACCACCACTTTGAACAAAATACGTGAAGTAATCTGTAATTAGGAGAAAACATTTCAATAATAAATACAATAGGTATATAAATAAAAATAACAATATAACATACCTTCATTATTTTTCCACATAAATTTATTTAAATTAATAAATAATAATTTATTTATAAATTATTTATTATTTTATTTATAAATAATTTAGCTATAAAATAAAACCACGAGCACCGCCGCTTTTTATAAAAATGTAAACAAACATTTACAAACGTCAAAAATGTCAGAATGCAATTCGCTGCAAAAAGATGCACAAGGGAGCTTTTGTGCAAAAGTGTTAAGTGCAGTAAGATCAACTAAGATCAACTCAAAGCTTTGTTACTTTACACAAAAAGTTCAAGAGGATGCGTATAAAAGACGGCGCAATTTTCTAAGAATTTAGTGTGTCTAGTATGATCACTCGGTGGCATTGTATGTCAATATATAAAAAGAAATAAATAAAAAAAAAAATTGTCTGACACAGTGGCGGTTTAAGCCTAGTGTATAATCTATTTAAAATATATATATAATTGTTTAGTGCATGGGCGGTTTTAAGTCCAGGCGCGGATACACTTTATATATATATTCAATATAACAAGACATATATACATTCACTAACCCCGTTTCGTCCACTAGGTACTTATCGAGCAGAATAATCACCGAAATTATACTAAGGTACAACCACGAAACCGGATCAGCCACCACTGTGAACTCTACAGGGACAGCTTCCAAATACAGCTGGTCACAAGGAAACATCTCAAGTCATATCTAATTAAATTTAACCAATCTCTTTGAAATACGACTACAGAAATACTTTCAGAATTTGCATGCGTTTAATATCTCAAGTTATTGAAATACGATTGAAGAAATAATAATCTATATAAAGCTACCTTATATAAATCGTTGAAAATTGTATAAATAGTTAATCTCCAGGTTTATCTTGTTACGTTTAATTGAATTCTTTTCTTTATTACATATTATTTTAATGAATTATTAATATTTTAAATAAATCAGTATTTAAAAAATTAAACGCATTACTTTTATTTTGAGAAGTCCTGTCTCCGCGAATATAAATTTATTGTAGCGACCCCCTGGAAAAGACTGAGGATACCCCAGCATAAATTATAACGAAACGGGAAAATCCGTGTCGTTACAATTGGCGCCCGAGCAGGGACAGACAGACTTCTCAAAATTAAATCAAAGTAATATCCACGTTACCATGGCACAAGCTAACATGATCAAAAGATAAAATCTAAATACTTTCATCCGTAGTCCAATTCAAGCCAGTTCAACAGAGAAACATACAAGACGTTCGCATAAGCAGCACATCATGGCCTTATCGTATGCACAAACCGTGGAGCGGATACGAAAATGGTCTGTAAAATACAATGGAGGAATAGATCCAATAGATTTTGTGGAAAGCATAGAAGAGGTAGCGGACCTTGACGACATCAACGTGAATTTAGTTCCCAGGATGATGCCCATACTGCTTGAAGACAAAGCACTGATGTGGTACCGCAACAACAATAAACAGTGGAACCTCTGGTCAAGCTTCAAGACAGACTTTCTAAAATTTTTTCTTTCATCTAGATATTTCAAAAGATTAGAAGACGAGGTGCGAACACGATTGCAAAAGAAGCAAGAAAGTTTTAAAGATTATTTAATAGAAATTAAATATCTTATGCGACACACAGACATGAACCAAGATTCGCAATTGGAGCGAATATACCGAAATATGCGTACAGAGTACCAAATGTACATCAAACGTCGAGACTTTTCGAGCTTAACAGAATTAGCAATACTAGCAGATGATTTCGAAGAACTTCGCGCAGAACAGGATAAAGTGAGTCGAGGCGGTGTTCGACAGGAAGTGATAGTTGGTCGCATAGAAATTGAATATCCACAAACGATGGTATTGGAAAATACAATGAGATGCGTACCTACTACGCCGATACAGGACAAACTTATTCCCAGTTCAAATTCCGAGTCACCTATCCTCAACCAGCAGAAAAGTAATCAGCAACGCAACCAGCCGACAGCTAAGCAAGTAACAGCACGAATCATACAAGATCAAGATATATTTCAAAATCAAATGTACCAAGTATCAACTCAGCAGAATATCCAACATGTCATGCCATTAAGAGAAAATCTAAAACCATTCAATCGGAACCAAGTCACAGAAGTTCAACAAATGGTCCAAGTCCAACTATGCGAACCTAAACAAAGATCACAAATCATAAGGCCCATCAGAGAAAATTCACAGACGCAAGAAATACAACAACAATGAGACCCAAAACTTACCAAGAAGAATCCCGAAGCATTTAAACCAGCACAAGTTACACCAGATCAGGAAACATTTCAAAGTCAAACGAAGCAAGTATCAGTACACCAAACACTGCAACGTGCCACGCCTTTCAAAGAAAACCTAAAATCGTTCAATCAGAATCAGGTCAAAGTAGGTAAACTTCCAAATGAAGTTCAAATTCAAACGTGTGGACCACAGCAAGATTCAAAACCCATCCAGGAAAATCCCAAAATATTTAGACAACAGCGAGTCACATCAAACCATGAAATGTTACCAGTCGAAATACAGGAACTACAAAGCCAGTTAAAACCAAGATTTATCAAAGAAAATCCCGAAGTATCTGAACAACAGCGAGTGAACCCAATTCAGCAAATATTACAAGCTCAAACACAGAAAGTACAACGACAGAAAGAACCAATCGTAATCAAAGCGCAAAAATACAAGATTCAACGGCACAGAGATCCAACTCCTGGCAAGGAAAATTCACAGGTAGCTAATCAACCAAGAAAAATCAGTCCAACGAGGAATCACCATATAACACAAGTTGAAATTCAAGATATACAAGGATGCGTAGAACAACAGCAAGTTCAAGATATTGAAACACAACAAGGTCAACGAAAGGTTACAGTAATCGAAGATCATACCAGACGAGTTCGATTGACTCAAGAAACCCCAAGTCCGACACAATCATTGCAACAAGTTTCAATTAAACACGATAGTCAACGAAAGCAAGAGTCACAAGAAGGAAAAGATGATTCCACACGTCCGAAGGATAAGATAGACAATCCTCTGATACAAGTACAGGAACTAAGTCTAGGAATTCCAAAACCATTCAGCACCCAAAAACTGCAGAAGCCGATGAATAACTTAGATGTACTTCAGCAGAAGGACTATGATGTTGTTAGTATACACCAAGATAAATTTTTCAAAATATTCAAGAGCCCAAAGAAACGGCACAGAAATCATGCAGGCAGATAGTGGCAAATTCATTTTCCTCGGAGAAGGAGGGAAATGTAAGGATGGAAATTTTGTAATAATTTCCAACCTACATAAATTTAGTAACACCACCACTTTGAACAAAATACGTGAAGTAATCTGTAATTAGGAGAAAACATTTCAATAATAAATACAAAAGGTATATAAATAAAAATAACAATATAACATACCTTCATTATTTTTCCACATAAATTTATTTAAATTAATAAATAATAATTTATTTATAAATTATTTATTATTTTATTTATAAATAATTTAACTATAAAATAAAACCACGAGCACCGCCGCTTTTTATAAAAATGTAAACAAACATTTACAAACGTCAAAAATGTCAGAATGCAATTCGCTGCAAAAAGATGCACAAGGGAGCTTTTGTGCAAAAGTGTTAAGTGCAGTAAGATCAACTAAGATCAACTCAAAGCTTTGTTACTTTACACAAAAAGTTCAAGAGGATGCGTATAAAAGACGGCGCAATTTTCTAAGAATTTAGTGTGTCTAGTATGATCACTCGGTGGCATTGTATGTCAATATATAAAAAGAAATAAATATAAAAAAAAATTAAATAAAGTTTGGATTGGCAACCCTATTGAATGATATCTAATAAGTGCGCGCGCTGAAAAGTTTAATGAAAAATTTAAGTTGTATCGTGAGAAACTAATGACAATTGGTTTATTACTGAAAATAAACGTTTGTGTAATTACTACGCGTTGGAATGTTGTGCAAAAATTTGATAATAATATAATTTTATTTATTGAGACTTCAGTGGACAAACTAACGTTGTATTTAACAACAGTAAAAAACCAAATATACACAAAAGTGCTTACGATCAGTGGAACTTAAAATTATATTCAGCGTTAAGCTCGATACAAAATTATAGAAAATATACTAAGTATAAAGCTCTGAGTGGTTCTTGTCTGTGCTGTCGGGTTTGTGTATCAAACCGAATTTTATGCTTTCAAAGAAAACACAAGCAGAATTTAAAAAATTAAAAAATTAACTTTTCAGTTATATCATAATATTAAATAAAACATATATATATAAAATGCCAGTTGAAAGATCGCCACCAGCAGACGCAAAAAAAGCCACGAGTAAATCGGACCTGTGCACACCGAATAGGCAAGCACAGAGGCAAGAAAAACGTATGCGATCTGAGCTTTCGCCAGACTTATCGCTCGGTGATGTTATGCTGTCTATTCAGCAAATGACGGATAAATTCGAATCGAATATTGCAGGCTTGAGTAACAACTTTGATTCCCAAATAGCTACGCTAGCATCAAAGAGTGACATAGGAGAACTTAAAGAACAGATAGGCAACGTGTCTGTGAAAATGGAAAAATTGGAGAACGAGAACCAAAGGCTAAAACTAGAATTAGTACAATTAAGAAATGATAGAGATGAGGACAGGAGGGAGATCGAAAGACTTGTCGAACAAAGTAAAAGTCGTAATGTACTATTGAAAGGTTTACTAAAAGATAAAGCAAAAAAAAGTGATGTGTAGGCAATTTTCCGAGATAAAATGGCTATGACAAGTATTAAAGTTCGAGACACAAAAGTAATATTTGAAAAGAAAAATAAAGTGAGCGTAATTGCAGAATTGGAAACATCAGAAATGGCAAAAGATGTCTTAAAGAATGGTAAAAAACTGCATGGCACTCCGATTTATATTGAAAAGGACTTGAGCGTGACTAAACAGGAAAATAAATCAGCTTTATTACAGCTGAAAAGAGATCTGGAAGTCATCAGAAAGACTCACAAAATTTATGTTAAAAATGACAGTATAAATATATCAGGAAAATGGATGCACTTTGATAAAAACAAGAAACTAAAGTGCAAAGATGGTGACGCTGTTGAGCAATTAAAGCAATTGTATGGTGAGATTGAAGTGGAAGAAGTGCTCGAGAAAAACAAGCTTTTTAAAAAAATAAATCAGCCAAAAAACTGTTAGTAAAAAAGGAAATCGTTAAAGATGCCAAACAAAAAATTGAAAAAAATGCAAATGCCGTCAGGTCAGACACTAAATTAGCATATAAATTTAAAATATTATCGTATAATGTAGCTGGTTTAGCAAATAAGTATAAGTTTATAGAATTTATGAAGTATGTTAAAAAATTCGATATATTTGTATTATTTGAAACATTTTTAGTAAGTAAGACAGATTATATTGAAAACACATTTATAGAATACAATCTTCATTGGGTGCCTGCAACAAGAACAACAAATAGAGGTCGAGCCAGTGGAGGAAAATTGTATGGTGTACGAAAGCAATTGCAATTTTGTGGTACTGTGGTGTTCAAGCACATTATGAACTCAACAATAATCGAGATAACCACTAATAATCAAAAGTTATGTTTAATCCCAGTTTACCTAAATTGCAATAACTGGCTAAATGATCTCAATAACTTATGTGAAATATTAGTGGAAGCTCAGAACGAAAATGTCATGATAATAGGTGACTTCAATGCACGCATAGGCAAAGAACAATGTCTGGAACTCAGCCCAAATATGCAGTGGACTGAATTATTGGGCCACAGAGTAGCAATGGATACAATTGTAGATAGAAATGGCAAACAATTACTAGAAATTTGCAATTCATTTGGTGTCACCGTGTTAAATGGCCGCACTAAAGGCGACAGAGAGGGTACATTTACGTTTATCAGAGGTGTAGCAAGGTCAACGATAGATTATTGTTTTGTGAAAGGAGTATGGTTAATAATAACTGAAGAGTTTCAAATACGTGACATGATATACTCGGATCATCAGCCACTGGAAATTATGGTAAATCTAGATGCCTCTAATTCAAATGAAAATAAAATGCAGTTGCTACCGAAACTGATATGGAAAGATAAATATAAAGATCTGTACCAAGAAAAGCTTGAAGAATCCCTTAATGCATGCGAAGGTAGTACATTTGCGTCGAAGGAAGGAGATGACATTCTTCAATATTGTGTAAAACAAGCAGCAAAATCGTTTCAGGGTAATTCGGCGGGTATAAATAGGAAACAAAAATGGTATGATTTTGAATGTCAAACTGCAAGAAAGAAATCATTTAAATGGCTCAAAACAGTTAAAAAAGGTGGTGCTATAGCTGATTTAGAGAAATACAAAAATGTAAACAGAGAATACAAAAAGCTGTGTGATGAGAAAAGGAAGTCATATTTCAATGAAATGGCAATGTCGATATCCCAAGCAGCTGATAGTAAATCATTTTGGAGTGGAGTTAAAAAAATAAATCGTGCAGATTACATAAAAGGAATTAAAGTGGACGCCGAAGCTTTGGCGGCACATTTTAAAAACCAGTTAAATAGCAATATAGTAAGCAAGTCTTTCAGTTATGCCCTGCCGTATGTAATAAATGAAGCGTTAGATGCTCCAATAAAGATTGAAGAGGTCTATGCAGTGCTCCAGAATTTAAAAAATAACAAAGCCGCAGGTGAAAACAGAATTCCAGCTGAGTTTTTAAAATATGCCACGCCACAATTTATAGAGCATATGGCTGAATCATACAATTATATATTTGAAAATGCAGCCCCACCTGATAGTTACAAAAAAGCCATAACATTTCCCCTTTTTAAAAAAGGTGACCCAAATAATGTAGCAAATTATAGAGGAATAGCATTTCTTAATACATCAGCTAAAGTCTTTACAACACTCCTGTATAACAGAATTAAAAATTGGGTTGATCAAAACAACATATTAAGCGAATTTCAAGCTGGATTTCGAAAAGGTTACTCCACGGTAGATAATATTTTCGTCATCACTAGTGTAGCGCTAGAGTTTATTGCAAAAAGCAAGAAGTTATATGTTTTTTACGTAGATCTTAAAGCTGCTTTCGATACAATACAAAGAAACGTACTATTTTACAAACTAAGCCAGCTGGGTCTTTCAACAAAAATTTTGAAAATACTGCAAAGTCTATACTGCAACAATGAGTCAACAGTATGGGACGGAAGGAGTACATCGAGATGGTTCCAAACGTGTACCGGAGTGAGACAAGGTTGTGTCTTAAGCCCTATATTGTTTGCACTGTTCGTTGATGACTTAAATAAATTTCTTTCTGGTGGTGTTACGATTGCCAATATGTGCCTAAAAGTACTATTATATGCTGATGATATTGTGTTGTTTGCAGATTCTCCAATAATGTTACTAAATATGATAGATGAATTAAATAGATATTGCAACTTATGGGGACTATCTATAAATACAGACAAATCAAAAGTGATGGTATTTAGGAAACATGCTAGAAGATTGAGAAATGATGAAAAATGGTACCTTAACGATGATCAATTAGAAGTGGTAAATAATTATAAATATTTAGGAATAAATATGAAATATAACGCAAAATTCGATAACCACTTGAACGAGAAGTTAAAGGAAGCTAAATTGGCTATTAATTGTACCTGGATAAATGTCTTAGGAAATCCGAAAGTGTCACTGCCCGTAAAATACAAAGTTTTTGAAGCCACAGTTAAGTCAGTTCTAAATTATGCAGCGCAAATCTGGGGTGTTGATAAATATGACGCAGTAGAAAAATTGCAGACATTTTATATAAAGAGAACGTTTCGTTTGCCGAAAAATACCCCAAATTATATGGTGCATTTAGAAACTGGTCTACCGACGCTATATACTCAAACATTAAAATTGCATTTTGATTACATCAATCGTGTTAGGAATTTGCCAGACAATAGGATTCAAAAAACATTAGCGCAGTACCTAATAAATGAAAAAACATTATGTTTTGAAAAATGGTCATATCTGGCATCCGAGTTAAATATAACTAATGATTTGAGTATTAATGAAAACTGGAAAATGTGGCAAAAAAATATAATAACGAAACTAAGTATTGAAGAACGAAGAAATTTTGTAGAAACGGCAAGAAACAGTATATCGAGAGATGCATATAGTAAGTTGAATTATGATCTAGGTGTCAATAATTACTTTCACGAGCAATATGACCTAGAAACAATAAGGACAACTTCAAAACC